TTTATCCAGAACTAAAAAATAAAGTTTTGGCTTCAGTTGCACAGAGAAAGGAAAGTCCAGCATCTGCATAGTCCTCGTCTATAGGTGACAGGTCCTCTTTAAGGCATGGAAGCCGAGTTGTGTACACAGTTTGTTTGCAGCGATAATCCGCGGGATCAATACGGGTGACAACCCCGAGGATACAAACCGCACCCCATGATACCGCCATCTGGCCACGGCCCAAACACCGGGCTGACCTCAGGTGACACTTCCCTGGGCTCCATGAACCCACTCCGCACCCACCGTCAGAGACCCCCGAGCCGTATATACCCGGTTCTGACCCATACCGGGTCTATTGATGGTAATTGAGTTTGTATACCGATGTCCATGGTTCTGTTCTCTGAAATATCCCCCGTTTCCCCCAAATCGGTCTCGATTTGGGAAACGCTCAGGTGTGAACGGAGGACTGAGCAGCACCGATATAATAATCCTTTATTCCCTTTCCCAATCACTGTATTATGATTATTGGCTCAGTAGGCCGCGGTCAGGCTATGCTGAGACTTGTAGTTCCCCCACCTGGCCCCGCCTTCGGGTACCTCTATGTGCAGCACGGCTCACAGGCGCCTCCCTCGAGGGAAACAGCCTGACATCAATCTCTCGGATCACGTGACACTTGAGCGTACACTTATATACAGCCCTGCCGATCGTCTGATTGGCGGAGGGTTTTCCGGTGATGTGTCGAAAGTGCGAACTTATCGAGTTGTGGGACCGCATTACTTCCGGTTTCCTCAGAACTACGAGGTTTTTACACAAAACATGTTGTGCACGAGCGCCATCCACGGCAGTGCCCTATAGACATAGACCACAGCAATAAAGTAATAAAATGATGTAGGATGACAGTAAGCCAGCACGTTCTTTATCTCCGGTGCCCCACTCAATATGGCCGCCGCTTGAGTGGGGCACCTGAGATAAAGAACGCGCTGGCTTACTGTCATCCTACATCATTTTATTACTTTATTGCTGTGGTCTATGTCTATAGGGCAATGCCGTGGATGGCGCTCGTGCACAACATGTTTTGTGTAAAAACCTCGTAGTTCTGAGGAAACCGGAAGTAATGCGGTCCCACAACTCGATAAGTTCGTAGTTTTGATCGATCACCGTGTTGCCAAATTAATACGGTCCGCCCCTCGACACCACGTGACAGCGTGACCTCCGTAAAGCGGCAGTAAACATGGCCAGGAATGAGGAGAAGCAGCTGGGGAAA